TTTGGAACTATTGTACATAGGGTCACTATGAGTCACAAGCAACTGAATGGTCCTAATAGCAACAACAATATACCTCCTTCTGTCAATTGGCATTAGGATTGTTTGAAATTATATTATTACAATGCTGTTGTACACAATCTTCAGCTGACAAGTGTGAGCCAAGTGTGAACCTACTCAGTTTTCCAAAACAAAATAAACTCTTTTTCACACCACAACAACAGTGGGTGTGATATTGTATTTTATGTTATCTTGAGTTCTGATTAATTATGAGGTTGCACATATTTTCTAATGCTCATACACCATTCCTATTCTAGGAAATGCCTATTCATGTCTTTTAAGTGTTTTTCTTACTCATTTATAGCCGTTCTTTATATACTCTAATCCTCTGTTGACTGTGGGAGTACTGTAGATAATTGCTAAGATAATGGGTAGTTCTTACTAATGTGCTCAAATTAACCAACCTAATAATACAAATTTATCAATTTTCCTTTTTAAGTGCACTGTATCTGCTTTAAAACCTCCCTAAATTCTCTTATTATGTCTAATGCTTTTCCGTTATACTTAAGACTTTATTCCATGTAGAACTGGCATTTTTAATATCATTGAAAGGAAACCTAGGCTTATTTTTATAAGGATAAGCAAATACTACAAGAATATTTACTTGACTGGTTTTATTAAAGCATTGTTTTACAGAGAGAGAATGCACTGTTACTTCCCTCATGTATCAAGTTTTGGTTTATGCACAGGTTTCTTTATGGGCTATTTGAATTCTTTGGCAATGTGTCCATTCTGTATGAATATGTTGTTGTTGTTGTTGTTAGGCACCATTGTGTCAAGTATGACTCTTGGGGACCCTATGAACAACAACTTTGAACCTTGTCCTCTGCTGTGCCATCCGGACAATCTTTGAGCCCAATGCCGCAGTCACTGCGTCAATCTATCTGGTTGAGAGCCTTCCTCTTTTCCAGCAACCCTCTACCTTTCCAAGCATGATGTCCTTCTCTAACGGATAGCCTCTAATATGCACAAAGTATGTGAGAACAAGTTTTATTAACTTTGCCTCCAAGGAGCATTCTAGCTGCATTGTCTCTAAGACATATTTGTCCTTTTGGCAGTCCATTCAGTACTCTTCAACTCCAGAGCTCAAAGTCATCAACTTTTCTTCCATCATCCTTATTAATGCCCAGCTCTTATATGCATAGCACATGACTGAAAAGAACAAGGTCCTAGTCCTCAAACTGACATCAATAATTTAGAGAGGTGGCTGAATGTAGAATTCCCCAGCACAGTATGTTTCCTGATTTCCTGACTGCTGATACCAAGGGTATTGATTAAAGATACAAGTAATATGATGTTGTTAACAATTCCAAACTTTGCTCCATCATGTTGCTTATCTGTTTTCTTGATGTTGAGGTGCAATTCATACTGAAGGATAGTCTTTGATCTTCTGTAGCTAGTGCTGCAAATCTTTCTCACTCTGAGCAGATAAGGTGGTGTCATCTGTATAACACAAGTTATTGACGAGTCTTCCTCCAATCTTTCTTGTTCATAGAGTTCAGCTTCTCGAATAATTTGTGCAGCATACAGATTGAATAGGTGTGGTGAAAGGATATAACGCTGATATGTATACTTTTCTTAATTTTAAACCATGTAATCTTCCCTTGTTTTGTTCATGTTGGTCTAGATATAAGTTTCACATGAACACAATTAAGAGTATGGGATTCCCATTCTTCTCAATGTTACCAGTAATTTGCTATGATCCACACAACCAAATGCCTTTGCATAGCCAGGAAGTACAAACAGACATTCTTCTGGCCTAGTTTGCTTTCAGCATCAGCAATGATATTCCTGGCACTATGATCTCTCCTAAATTCTGTTTGAACTTCTATGTACTGTTCTATCCATTTTTTAATAATCTTCAGCAGTATTTTGCTTGCATGTGATAGTAATGGTACCAAATATACTGTATGAAGATGGTTTTATCTCAATTACAATTTAATAATTAAGCTGATCCATCTGGAAGCCAAGTCCCCTTCTACCTTATTCTTCTCTGGAGTGTTTCAGTTATTTATAGATCTTTTCTCTTCCATACATATTATAATTTCATCATGTTCTTCTAAAAAATCCTGTTGGAATTTAGACTAGAAATATATTTGTATATTCTACAAATCAATTCAAAAATTCATGTTAACTTTCCACTTATTTAAATTAATACTTTAAAAATATTTTTATGAAGACCTTTATTCTTTATCTTTGATTCTATCCCTGAACATCTTATTTTTTTAGTTGCAACTATAAAGAAATTTTTAAGAACTTTTTTCTTTTATTTATGATAAAAGTTCAACTTTGGGGGTGGGAGGTACCAAAGAAGGCAAGACGCTATGTCAAGAAGAGAAGTCTACGGAGTTAACAGTCCCACATTCAGCTCTGCCTTTACCCCTAGAAGATGTGCAGATTGTCTATGACAAGGAGAAGCTGAGCTGAAAGCAGCGTCTTGGTGCAGTTTTAGCATTAACAATCTGAGGCTAACACAGCAGCTAAGGATGAAGAGCTCAAGATCTTGAAGAGGAAAGTCAGCCCAAAATAGCAAGATTTCCCTAAGAGATATTTACTGACTCTTAAGCAACATCATATCATCCTTGGAAGGCAGAGGGATGGCAAAAGAGGACCCTGACCAGGTGGGTTGGCATGGAGACTGAAGCAATGGGCTTGAAGTGTCACAGACTTGAAGGATGGCACAGGACAGAAGAATATTCAGATTGGTTGTTTGTAAAACTAGGAATATCATTGCTGCTATGAAGCTGATATTGGTTGAAAGCAGAGAAAAACAGGAAGATGCTGACTTGTGTTTTACTGACTATGTAAAGGCATTTGACTATGTGCATCATAATACATTATGTAAAACACTGAGAAGGGGAATTCCAGAACACTTAATTGTGCTCATGTGAAACCTACACATAGATCAAGAAGCAGTTGTCTGAACAGAGTAAGAGAATATTGCATGGTATAAAAAGAGGAAAGATGTGTGTGTCAGAGTTGTAGCCTTTCTCCATACCTATTCAGTCTATATGCCAAGCAAACAACCCAAGAAGCTGGACTATATGAAAAATGTGGCATCAAGATTAGAAGACGACTCCTTAATAAGCTGAGTATGCAGATGACATAATCTTGCACCCTGAAAGTAAGGATTTGACACACTTATGAAGATCAAAGACTATAGAATTCAGTAGAATTATATCTCAACATAAATGAAATCTCAATTCTTGGAACTGGACCAATAAGCAACATCATGATAAATGGGGAAAAGCCTGATGTTGTTAATGATTTCATTTTACCTGAATGTGTAACAATGCCCAGTGAAGTACAAACAAGAGATCAAAAGAGGTGCTGCACTGGGAAAAATCTGCTGCCAAGGACTTTTTAAACTGCTAAAGAGCAAGGATGTCACTTTAAACTCTAAAGTGCACCCGACCCCAATCAGGGTATTTTCAACTGCTTCAAATACATGTGAAAGTTGGACAATGAATGAGGAAAACCAGAGAACTAATGTCTGAACTGTGGTACTGGTGAAGCATACAGAATATATCACAGACAGTCAAAAGAATAACAAACTTTACCTTAGATGAAATGCATTCAGAACACTCCTTAGAAGTAACGATAGCGAGGATTCATTTCACATAATCTGAGTATGCTGCCTGAAAGGCCACATCCTTGAACAAGAGCATCATGCATGGAAAAGTAGAAGGTCATTGAAGGACAGAAGACCTTCAATGAGAAAAATTGCTAAGATAACTGCAACAATGGGCTTAAGCACCGCAGGGATTGTAAGGATGGGACAGGAGGTGGCAGGGCTTCATTCTATTGCATAGAGGGTCACTGTAAGTTGGAGCTGACTGCACTGAATGACAATACCACTACCTCCAGCACACAGCAAACCAAACCAAGTGAAGATGAACAGGGAGGAACCGACAATGACCGGTGAATCGGTGCATTTTATTGCATGCTGGCTGCTGTTACAAGAACCAGTAAAAACTCATCATCATGACTACCATTTTTTTACTTCTCAAATGAGCTAATTCACATAAAAGAAACAGAAACGATAGCAAAAGAGACTGTATTCATCCCAGTGAAATCATAAGGGTTTTGCAGGCAGATCTTTCATTTTTGTATCCTTGACTCTTGATACATATGCTAGACATATGGTAAATATAAAAACCATGATTTTTTTTTTTTAAAAATAGAAAACTTCTAAAGATGCATTTTACAACTACAACATATATAAATGCACGAATACAAACTGTGGGCATTCTCCAACAGCCCTGTTGATGATAATCCAAAGCTGAAGTCAGTGGTAAGTGACTAAGCATTAGAAACAAAGAGACACAAAAGGCTGTAACTGACAAAAGCTTCCAAGATGCCCTGAGCTGATTAGTGAAAGGAAGCAGCATTCAAACTGCAGAGAATAAGATAGACAAAGACAGATGTAGATAAGAAGTCTTTTAGACCAAGAGTTATGTATTGAGGCTTTCTACTTACAAATGCTCAGAGTCCTTTATTAAAATCTTTCACACTACACACAGTACACATAAAAGATTCTAAGTGTTGAATTTAAGAAGCTCATTTGAGATTCTCAGAACCTGTCCATATTCTGAAACTTAAACAAACCCACAAGAAGATCCCGCCTGCTAGACTGTGTGGCCAAGTTACCTCATAATTCCCTACAGATGAATGTGCCTTGTCCTGCGTGATGAGGAATAAGCACAGCAGATCAAGAACAAAAACATGCCTGGGTTCTAGAGTTTTACACACATGAGAACACAGACAAATACAGTAACCACCAAACATTAATGACAGTTCTGGTTTCACATGTATTAAAAATACAAACCAATGAACAACAAAAACAAGAACAAGAACCAAACCCAAAGAAATGAAAAAAACTAAACAAAACAACCCCAAACTCATTAAAGTCAAGGTAGAAAGTGTAATTACTTAACTACTACCTAAAGTCATCCAGTGTTTCCTGTATCATGTTCTGAATATAATGGATCTGAACAGACGTCAATGGCGCATTTGGCCTATTATTTCCAATGGTGTCGGCTATTTTTCCTGACAATGAACTGGCGACTCCAGCAGTAAGAGAGGACGCTATGTTTGGTTCTGAAACAAAGGATGGGGAAAATATTAGTAAGACAGCTTGGAATAAAAGACAGCAAACATTTTTATATATGACTTGTCATGAAAAGACTTGAAAAATTGGCAAACAAGTCTTTTGTACCAGTTAGAAAAATTCCCTACCTAGAATACAAATTTTAGAAACTTTCTATGACATTATTTCTAATAGTCATTTATCTATATCTACATAAACTGCCAACTGTCTAATGTACACAGTAATCTATGACAGAAGAATTCGTCTTAAGGCAGCTCTGAATCATTTCCTATATAAAAGATAAATGTGACAAAGTGCACCACCACAAACTAGATTTACCAAAATTTTGAAAAGAAATGAGAGGAATATAAGAGAATAAAGCTGTGTTATACAAAAAGTCTTAAGGTTTAGCAATTGCAAAACAGTCAAAGAAGTTTTAAAGTAAAAGAGATATCTATATAAAGAGTTGTTTTAACATAAAGAGTTACTTTTTATACACTTTTAACAGCTAAACCTAAAATCCCTTTAATGTGATCAAGGTCTTTGGCATGAACTTTAAAATGATATGACCAAAGCATACAACTACCACTCTCCCCCAAAATAGACTTAAAAAGAAATATTTAATAGTTAAAACCCAAGTCAAACATAAGGTTGCTGAGTACATTCTAACTCAAGGCAGGAGAAACCAAAACCGCCCATGGAATCTCCAGGCTGTAATCTTTTGGGGCAGACTGCCACGTCTTTCTTCCACAGAGCAGCTGGGAGGTTCCAATTACCAACTCCTCAGTTAGGAGCCAAGCACAATTATGACCCCTCACTCTTAATCATTGTTCCTGAGTTGGAACTGACTCCTAGCTGACTCTTCAGAGAGTTTGGGAGGCTGCAATCAAGTGGGAGAAGATTGTGCATCTCTTCTTGTGGGGTGACTGGTGGATCTGAATTATGAGAGAGGCAACACCTTTGCGTGTAGTCCTTACACAGGGGCCATGCTAATTTTCTCTTTATTGTTCTAATTTTAGCTCATCAAAGCAATCACAAGAGGCCCCTCCTTTGGTCTAGCAATGCAACTTCCCAGAGATTAGACACCAGAGCTCCCTACCATGCCCAAGGGAAGGTTCCTTATTTCCTACTTAACCATCCCTATTTAAAAGGGTCCACCACTATAATCCTACCCATATCATATTAGATCAACACAGGTAAGGACTAGAATGTAAATGAAATTCATGCAAAACAAGTATTAAAACAATGTAGGTGAACTTAAGTAGTCATATATATTTCACTGTCTTCGAGGAAGAGAATCATACACTCAACTTTAAAATTTCTGAGCCTAAGACCACACCATTTATTTCTATAATCCAGGTTAAATAATTGTAGAATAAGCATAGCACTTTCAAACGTCAAGAAGTTATATGTACTTACTTGAGGTAGAGGACCCACTGACAGAGGGTTCATATATCAACTGGCTTTCTATTTCTTTCTCTGGCTTTTCAAACTTCTCAGGATTTTTTGCTTGGTTAGATGAGGGAGAGGTATTTAGATTTCCAGTTTCAGCACCGGAGGAGGCCAACTCTGTAAACTTTATATTTAAAATAAATCATCACATTAATGTGTCATTTCTGGCTTTCTGCATGTTAATATGTAACAATGCCCCCCCCTTACCCCTAGTAGAGACAAGAGAGGGAGGGAAAGAATAGAGTGAAAGGAAGAGATAAAGAAAGAGAAGAAAAAAAAAAAACCCACTAAGACTATTGGCAAAATAAATCAAGTGTATCCATAAAAAAATAATCTTGATAATAGAAGGAAAGATCTCATTTTCTAAACATCTGCTGTTGAATATCACTTAAAATGGAAATTACTTGCAGAAAGAAATCCCCAAGCACTCACAGAAACTAGTTGGAAGAATTTGTAAAATAAATCAAAATAGATTTCTGCATTTCTTGAATTTTATTTTTTGACTATCATTCTAAGAAATGAATAGGGAAAAAAATATACCTTACATACCTAATAGATTTGTCTGTTATGTCCTTGCTAGTTAATATTTAATCACTTTGAGCTCTTACAAAAGCAATAAAACCTCTACTGGATACTGTTTTATAAAAGAAGATAATGAATTCCATTCTTAGTACTATCAATTTGCTATCACACCTAGCGCTAATGATTCCCCCACTAATTTAGTGCATTGTGCTGAATGGAAAGACATTCTAATTCAGGCTGCTTGTGTAGACAGACAAATAAAATACCTTGTTTTGAAAAAAAAAATATATATATAGACATCTGCTATTAATTTCAACATATCCAAAGAGGGATTTCAGAAGTATTCTTTGACTATTAACAAGTGGTATCAGTATTTAAGAATATATGTCTACATAATGTGTTGTTGAGCTGATAACAAAAATCGTTGGTCAAATCCACCAGCCTCTCCATGGGAGTGAGATGGAAAGATTTACAGCCTCGGAAACCTGATATAGGATTGCTGTGAGGTAAATCAAACTTAACGACAGTGACAGTTCGTTGGGTTTGGTATTAAGTGTGGTGATGCTGTGGGCTAAGCACTATGACGCTAACTAAAATCAACTATTCCAACCCAGCAGCTGCTCTATGGGTTAAAGGGGCAGTTTGTAAAGATTTAGAGCCTTGAAAATCCTACGAGCAAGAGCTCTTCCCTGCCCCACAGGGTTATCGTGTGCTGGAATCCACTCCGTGGCACTGAGTAGTAAGTGGGTCTTGTTATCAAAGCTGACCCTCCAGCAGGTTATCAGAGGCAAGAAATCACACAGGAGACTGCCTTTCTTTCTCCCTTGGAGGAGGTAGTGGATTCAAACCATGTGCCTCTGAGTTGGCAGTACAACTCCTTACTCACTACACCACCAGAGCTACTTATTAAGTGGAGGTTGCTGTTGTGCACTGTTGAGTTGGAACCAACTCCTAGCTGACTCTCCAGTTTTCAGATACAGTAAATCATGCTAGAGGAGACTGCTCATTCATCATCTGCAGAGAAGCTGGTGGACTTGAACCATGTGCCTTTAGCACTGCAGTGCAGCTTCTTACCACTAAGCCAATAGAACTCCCCAAAATTAAGTGGATAGCACTATTAAAAAAGTAGGACACATCCCCAGTCAGCTAAATGCCGTAGTGATTTGCTCCATTACACTTACTACTGATAAAAACACACAGATTGCAGGACCACTGTCAAGGCAGATACCTGCTTGAAAGAGTCTTTCGGTTCCTGTTTTCCCAGATATATTTTCTTAACCTCAGCTGCCAGATCATGATTTTCATTTTCTTCTTTCCCTGGAGATCCCATAAAAATACTAAGAGGGCTAGAATGCAATACAGTACTTGAAGTGACATGATTTTTTCTTGGCGGAAACAGTGAGTTCAACTGTGGTAGACAGTCAAGGCCTGAAAAGAAGAAAAAAAAAATCACATTTACAAATGATGTCCCACCACAATCTTGGATATTGATGCTACCAGGCCAAAGGTGGGTGACTCTAACCCACGGCCCTCAGGCCTGTTCTCAATTGTTTTTGTTCAAACATTCTTCTAGGTCGTGTAGCCCTGGTGTGTCCACTTGCCATACAGAGGTAACTTTTGGTTGCTGTGAAGCTGAACACTGTGACACTGAGGTGTCAAATGCGAGAATGGTTACCCATGGTGGACAGTGTCTGGTGGAGCACCCCGATTAAAACAAGCTTGGAAGCAGGAGTGGCATCCACTTCCGTAAATAGCTTGCCTCTGGAACCTGGAGAAAGGATGAAAGTCACGCAAGTATTGAGGACTTTCTTTCATAGGGTCGCTATGAGTCGCCTATGACTTGACAGCACTTAGCAACAACTTCAAAATTACGAGTATTAACATGACAGAAAAACATGAGACTTGGGTTCAAAACACAAGTTCATTTCCCTCACTCCTTACTTGATATGTACTCTTAGCAAAAATAATAATTCTCTCCTGACCTGTAAATATGGATGACGACATCCATTTCTCAGAGTGGTGAGACTTAGAGGCTGAATATAAAAATATTTAGAAAACAAGAAACAAATGAGTATTTTAGTTTTTGAAAATGAAAACCTGTTAAACTAGTACATAACTAATGAGTGTATGTTCCTTAATGGCCTCCAGGTTTCCATGACCTTGCGCAGTCCCGTTCTTCTGAACTGGACTGGACTTAATAACTTGCTTCTGAAAAACAAGTGACAAGATGAACATTTCCCAGATTAAGATACAAAATTCTCTGGCTTTCAGATACCCTCTTTCACTCTACGGCTGAATTCCTCTGAGGAAGCCAGCTCTCCTATGATGAATTCCATGTGGCAAAGCACAGCAATGGCTACTGTTCGTTGTTGTTGTCTGCCACCAACTCATAGATGATCCTCCAACAGGTTTTCAGAGGCAGTAAATCGCATGGGAGAAGACTGCCCATTCTTCTCCTGTGGAGCAGCTGGTGGATTTGAACTGCATGCCTTTGAAATTACAGTGGAGCTTCTGATTAGGTCACCAGAGTTTTTGTGTATTGTCGAGTCAGAACCAAGCCATAGCTGACCCTCCAGTGGGTTATCAGAGACAGTTAATTATATGAGTGGAGATTACCCATTCTTCTCCTGTAGAGCAGCTGGTGGATTTGAACATGTGCCTTTGGGAACTGCAGTACAGCTTCTTACCACTAGCCCACCAGAGCTCCCAATGGCTACTAGATGTCTATAGATGTCTGCAGCTCTCTTGGCTACCCTGACTAAAGAACAGAGAGAGATCTGAAGCCAAACATACCCAAGTAAGTCATTCCCACATTCCTAAACTACAAAAATGATAATAAATGAATGTTGTTTTAAATCTGTTAATGTGTTACAATGTAATTGGTAACATAAAAGTTCTTAATATTTAAAAAAATTCTTTGTATTTTCATGAAAATAAATGTCAGTAATCCTTACCATCTCCTTTGACTGCCTCTTCACTTCCCCTGTTAACTACAGCATCTATAATAAAATCAGAAAATGGTGAAAAAGAAGCCATACCAGCTTAAGTTTCTATTCATTATCCAAAAGGCTAAGAGATTCTAAAAAGGAACATAGACGCATATAGTCATTTAACAAAGCAGCACAGTACAGCAGGAAAAGCATTAAAACGCGCTCTGAAGGTGTTTATACAACTTTAATAGGTATGTATGGCATTTTAGACAAGTCTTTAAAGCATATGAACTTCAGTTTCCACATCTGTAAAAAAAGGGATAGAGACCTGATCATCTAACAAGTTTGTTTTGAGAATCAATTGAAATTCTTTTTTTACAGGATTTTTGTTTTATTTTGTTTTTCCCTCTCCATACATCTCAATTTAGACTTTAGAAGCGAACCTAATCCTGAATTAGTAAGGGAACAGACAGAGAAATCTTTTTGAAAGAAGCCTTTAAGGAGATACTTGTGGGACAGAACACTATGACTCTCTAAGTGACACCATGACACCACCTGGCTTCATTTTTTTTTTTTTAATACTAATGAAAGTTTACAGAGACTTAGGGTTTCCAGTCATTTATTGTTGCAATTAACTTTTTTCCTTGACGAGTAAAAGAAAAACTCTTTCATTGCTATGCAATCCCTCCGCCGAAGTCCACTGCACTGTGCAGCCCTTATTCTGGACTCCTGTCATGACAATAATGCTTAATAATACTTAATCCCATTTAACCAGTTCTTTCTCTCATCTGTTGCAATGCAGTATATAGCATTCTTCCCCTTCTTCTCTGTCTTCCTTCAACCCCAATGTCAGTCCTATTTTACAATAGTGGCCCTATGCAATATTTGTCCTTTCATGACAGATATTTCATGAGAATCAGTTGAAATAATTAAAAAACATTGTGCAAGTCACTCACTCATTGCTTTTGAGTCAGAACCGACTCATCTGACCCTCCACTGGGTTTTCAGAGGTTGTAAAGAACGTGAGAAGAGACTGCTCATCTTTCTCTTAGAGAGCAGCTGGTGGATTTGAACCACCAGTCTTTGGGTTGGTAGTGCAACTCCCTATGCACTAGGCCACCAGAGATCCCTATAAGTAGTACATTCTTATAAAAAATGTAAAATGTATACTTTACATTCTTCTAAAAATATACGCTATAAGATATTTATTTCAATGGCAAAATATTTATAAGACTATTTAATACAATATTATTCACTTAGCAATTAATATGAAAAATTACTTAATGATTAAAAAAATCTCCAAAGGTCATAAATAAAAAATTCATCATAATTCTAATGACTAATAAATACTTATGATAGCATATTAATAGTACTATCATCTACCTATCTATCTATACATATTTATATCTCTATACACATAAAACATATTTAAGAAACTTCTAATTAATCCTCTTATTAGTGGTATTTGTAGTTAAAAGATGAAGAAACTGAAGTACAAACAAGATTGAACCTTTTACCTTAATAGAGAGCTGCATCCTTGATACTGAAAGACAAATTTAATGATGACGAAAACCAGTACTGTATATTAGTATTTGTGTTTCTTCATATTAATATGACAAAATACCAATGAGAGCAGAAGTACATAGTACAATTTCTAATCACATTTGTAAATATAGCAAAAGCAATTAAAAAGGAGTGTCTATTCTTTATTTCCCATAAATAACATTAAAGACGATTTCATTTCTACACTGAACACTCTGGAAAGTCCTTTAGCACATTCATCTGTTCCCCAGCTGCTGCAGGAGGTGTGTGTCTGAGGCTCAAGTTCCCAGCCTCAGTACTAACCCCAGAAACTTGTCTCAACCTCAGTCCAAGCCACTGTCCCTACTTCACTCCCTTCCTTCCTGTCTTTGCTCTGTAATCATGTAGTTTGATCAGTTCATCCTGAAAGAAAGAAAGAAAAATCCTTCCTCCTCCTCAATTGATAGAAGATGTGCCCCAATGACCTGGCAAATTAAGTCGTCATTTTCAGGACGGAGTAGACAGAATATACTACTACTTCATTAATCATTCGGCACCATCACATATATATTTATTATTATAAAATAAATTAGCACAAAAGTTGGGAAAAGTGTGCCTGTGTAAGATCATGAGAGAACATCCTGCTACTGTTACCATTCCCATTCCAGTTACTTTATCACACGTAAATCAGTGTGTAACACAAAACTCTGTGGGTTTCACGGACTATTTTTCTCTTAGGGGAAATCTGCAGAAATGGAGTTACTAGGCCAAAGAACACAAATATGTTAACTTTGCCAAGTTACCCTCTAGAAATTTATTCACTTTGTGGGTAAGATAGTATTAACAGCAGCACTATCTCACTGAGGAAAACAGTAGCAGTACTGAGTATCAACAAGTCACATATCTAGTCCACAAAGCACAAACAACAAGATATACTGTTCTGTTTCTCACACTGGCAGAATGCTCTCCCTAATGGCAGCTGGGCAAGGTGGAGGGCAGGAGGAGCTGAAGAGAGAGCTCTCTCATACACAATACAAAACTTGAGATATTCTGTCCCCTCACTACACTGATCCATGGAAACACTTCATTACTAATGAAACACTGCAAATCTTTAACTAGGAAGAGTGTCTATTAAGACATCTAAAATTGTAAGATTCTAGAATAAATATAAGTGAAAGATTACCAGCGGAAGTAAAATTTCCTTAAAGAAACGTGTATTTTTCTTCTAAAAATAATACTTCGCTTTTTAATTGGTTTTAATTTGATCACTTATATATACATTGTCTTACAATATCAAATACAGTTATGTGGTATTATTTACTTTGTCTTATCAAAACTTTGTTATACCCTTCTTTAAGAAACCTCTGTGGAAATTTATATACTAATTTGAGAGTTACTGATCCAGTTTCTACATGAAGATTTTCATCATATATTTTGGAATGATAGTATCTGAAACACCTTGGTGATATAACTCTAATCAGGACAGGGAAAAATACCACCTGAGAGATATTCCTCCACCACTTATGTCAGAGTGATGCTATGACCCACATCTTCTAGTCAAAATATAAACACTGATTGCAATACAAGCCTCCAATCTGAAAAGACTTACCATCTCTAATAGGTGAGAACATGTCACCTAAACTACTTTTCCCACTGTCATCAAGGCTAGAGAAATCATGGTTTTGCCCACTCTCCGTTTCCTTAGACAAAGAATCTGTGTTTAAGCTTCTAGGCAAACCTTATAGGAATGGAAGAGAAAAAAAATGTTACTATAGCCAAATGAATTTTATCATCAGAATCTAGGTTCCAAAAATCAATGTCAACATTGCCCATGTGATTGGCACTGTCAAAAGTATGAACACTCAAGAAAAGAAAGCAAAATATAAGAATATTCAGTTAGCAAGCAATTTCACATCATCAACCACAAGTTGCCACTGAATCTATTCCAACTCATGTGTGTCCAAGTAGAACTGTTTTTCATAGTTTCTGTGTCTGAGTTTTCTGAAACAGATTACCGATCAGGCCTTTCTTCTGGGGCACAAGGTAGACCTGAACCTTTAGTCCTTCCATTAGTATCCGAGCACACGGAATGTGTGGACCACATAGTGAGTGACACAGTCATGGAATGAGTTACCAAGTCATTTGTTCTTACAGCAACATCTTATTTTAGCTATTTAAAAGGAAACTTTTTAATTTTTGCACAGTGCTCTTTAAGCAATTTTCTTTTGGTACTGATTTGTTAACTCAGTTATTTTCAATCTAAGAATTTATTTTTAAAGCCTTTAAGTCATATTTGGAAGCAGGAGGGGCATTCACTTCCTAAACAACATGCCTCTGGAAACTATGAATGCTGAGAAACGACGATAGCTATAGAAAGGGTTCAGGTCTTTTGTTCATAGGGTTGCTATAAATCGTGCTCAACTTGACAGCAATCAACAACAACAATAAGCCATATAGTATATGGCCTCACATATAGTAGAAATCAGCCAATTATCTTCCAAAACTTTTTCTATTCTTTCTTTTTTCCATCACTAGTGATGAGAGCTGTGCATTGCCCTTAGGATTATCAACCTCGAAGTGACGAAGACGAAGAAAATCAAAATACCACGCTCATGGAACAGTACAGTGGTTAATAATAAGGAGCCATGAGGTTCTGGCAGAACACCTGGCCTTAGGGCAGGGACTTTGTAAGAGTAGCCTTGTTCTTGCTCTTTTTTTTTCTTTTTTAAAAATTATTATTAATTTTAATGAAAGTTTACACAGACTTTGAATTTCTATTCATTCACCATGGCACTTTTGTTCTTGCTCTTTTTAAAGACTGAGTTCTAGACATTCAAGAGATTTTATAAAAGCTTGGCATCAGGAATGGTAGCATATTGCAAATTATGTTTTAGAAAGTGTTTTGTTTGACATATTAGTCCCAAATGAATCATTAGGAGAGCTCTGTGCCCTAGTGGTAAGGAATTGTGCTGCCAACCCAAAGGCACGGGGTCCAAATCCACCAGGTGCTCCATGGGAGAAAGATGGACAATATCCTCTCGTGTGATTTACTGCATCTGAATACTTGTTGCAGGGTCAGCTATGAGTGGGTTCTGATTTGATGGCACATAACAACAACTCCACAGGGTCACTAGGACTCAGAACTGATTTGATGGCAATGAGACTGATATTTCTGGATCAAAGCTTGATAGAAACGAAAATATAATGGAATCATTGGCATATCATCATCATTAAAGTGTGTTTATGCCATGAAATAAGCTATAATAAAGAAAAATATCCTCTTTTTATTAAAATGGCATTTAGAAGTTCTTTGTATTACTCTTACAACTTTTCTGCAAATTTGCAAGTTATTTCAAAGTAAAATTAATAAGCAAAAATCTCTAGCTTTTGTGGGGGCAGAGCAAGAACTCATTTTACCAGATATTTCACTAATCAACTGGGAGTTATCATTAATCAGTGACCCTACAGACCCAAGTCTTTCAGCACCCAATTAATGCTCTCATTGCTAAGCATGCGTCTCCTTATTAAAAATAAATGCATGAATAATAGCAAACTCCAAAAAGTTGACACTAAAGGAGAACATTTTGAGGTTTGATTGTTGAATATTAGTATTAATTCAATTTTTAGAAAATAATTTTTGAAAATGGTAATTCAATATCTTGGATACATTAGTTAGCTATGTTTTCAAAAGAATTTCTTAAAGGCAACAAATAACAGACATGTATATGGTTTTTGACCAATATACAAGTATCCTATATCAGTTTTCAAACAGCAACACTTGTTTTTTTTAAAAGTATGCTTATATGAAAATACCTTGGGTATGGTTGGCCAAAAGTAGCAATGGTATCTTAAAGATCCACTTCATTTACCACATAATACACAATGACTCTTTAAGTACACACAACACAAATAATGAAACCAAATTTATAGAAAATATTATCTTATGAAATGATTGGGTGAACTAGGCAAGCTCTGGTGGCCTAGTGGCAAGAAGCTGCACTGCAATCCTAGAGGTGTGCAGTTCGAATTCACCAGATGCTCTGCTGGAGAAGGAGGGACAATCTCCTCCTGTACCAGTCAGATCCGACTTGATGGTACACACACACACACAAATAAAATTTTTTTTAAAAATCCACAAAAATGAAATGATTGGGTAAACTAGTGTTAAGGAATTGCGCTGTTACCCAAATGCCTGTGGTTTGAATCCACAAGCTGCTCAGTGGGGGGGGGGAGAGGGGGAGAAACCAAGTCCCGTGTGATTTTTTTTACTGCCTTTGAAAACCTACTGAGGGTCAGTTCCAATTCGATATATAACAACATTGTAAAAAAATTAAAATTCTGCTTCCATGTAAATAGTACATTCATACTAAGAATGCACCAATTAATTATATCCAAGACAGACTTCTGTCCCATAAATTAAAAAAAAAAAAAAGACACAAAAATGACTATAATTTCTTTGAAACACACTGATATGGGTATACCAGTTAAACTTTTAAAAATACCTGATGCAAACTGACAACACAGCATTTTTAAAAAATGACATATGACCTCTATTGCGGGCAAAGAACATCTTCTATACTATGTATGGGAAAGCTTATCTTCACAAAAATCCAAATAAGTGTTTGATCAATATGACTATGAGAACAGAAGATGCCATTTAAAACCCTCTATTTTTAAAATGATGTATCTTTAACAAACTACTAATACATGATTTACTAGGTTCTGGGTACACTTACCTGAAACTTCAAAATATTCATGTTACTCACTGAAAACCCTATGGCGAAGGTTTTACTTTGTCTTATAAGGTCACTAAGAATCAGAATTGATTCAACAGCAATGAGCTTGGTATTTTGGGATGAAAGTATGATAGAAATTAAAATATAACAGACTCACTTCAGTATCAGTATCACTAAATTATGTGCCTGACGTCTTTCTATTCTGATATATTAAAGAAAAGGAACCATTAACAGTTGTTGTTGTTGTTATGTGCCGTCAAGTTGTTTGTGACTCATAGCGACCCTATGTACAACAGCCCTAAACCGTGCTCTATCCTGTGCCAATCTCATTGCCTCTGACACACCCATCCCGATTACCCCAGTCACTGAATCAATCCACCTCATAGAGGGTCTTCCCCTCCTGCGCTGTCCCTCTACTCTACCCAGCATGATGTCCCTCTCCAAAGACCTGTCTTTCCTTACAACATGTAGTCATTTTTTAATTTGGAGGTCAAATTGTATCTTCTCCAATCAATCTGAGGTTTCCATGACGAGGCACCCCAATCTGTAGCACTGTGACAAATGACTAATTTCTGTTTTGGCATTCTTTCCTTTCAGTATTTCTCACAATAGAAGCTCAGCTAAACAGAATCAGTAAAAATGTGCCATTCAACAACTTTTAAAAACACTTTACTGCTGAAGTTGAAATGTGAACTCAGTCAGTGATGTCTCTTTTGTAAGGTGCCATCAAGTTAACTACAACTCACAGCGACTCTATGGACAACAGATCTGAATCCTGCCTTATCCAGCACCAGCCTCTAGATCTCTGTCCTGAGTAAGTCCACGCTGCAGCCACTGTGTCAATCCACCTCACTGAAAGTCCTCCTCTCTTTTGCTGACCCTATGCCTTTCCCAGCATGATGTTTCTTACGATCTTGACAACTCATTGTGCCTTAAAGACTCATGTGAATTTGAATTACAGGCTCCTAAAGAAAAATGCTAATTATATCTATCTGGGGTGGGGGAATCTCAGAGAAGCAATGTTACCTGCTTTGTCTGGAACTGCAGCTGTCCCTTTCCCCACAACTGTCGTCATGGGCTGTGGTGGAATTGTGGCAACGGACGTGGCAGGTGGATCTTTGATAATTCCAGAATTCGGAACTCCTCCACTGGCAGCGCTCACATTGACAGTCCGTTTGTTCACCGCCACGGACTTATTTGAAGAGCCTTTATTTAAACTCGACTGAAATGTAATGGAATATTTAAAAGCTCAGGTTACTAATGCCTCATACTATGTACATTAATATTTTATAAATTCTCTACTGGGTTAAAAAAAATATATACATATTGCATCTCTTGAAAATGTTAAGCTTGCTGATGGATCTGACGGTTTCTCTGTAAAATAAATCTTTCAAGAGACAAAAATATAAAAATAAAACATTAAAAAAATAATTGAAACTAAATGTTAATATGGCTCCATACCAAAATTAATTAAAATGATTTTGTATGAAAAAAATTATCAAACAAAACTGTGTTTCATGAACAATATATAATTTAAATATTCAAAGGCTATGTTTATGTAGTAGCAAGTGTCCCCCACCCTAATCTCACCTTAGAAAGAGCAATGGAGGACTGAAATGTTATACATTGCACAGATGTCTTATGAGCACGGATGGTTTTTACTGGTGACTTCAACATCCTTAAATCATACTGACAGATTTTCCCACGGGAAGATCCAGTAGCCAAAGTGGCTCCATCAGGCATGAAATCTACTGCAGTTAGAGGGGCCTCAGCCACTAAAGTTTTCACTACTCTTTGGAAAAGAGAACAAAGCATATGTAAATAGGTGAGTTTGTATACAAGTATAGAAACGTAAATGACACATAAATAACTGGATACCAAAACCAAGTTACCAAGCAAATTAACATGTATAACGCAGAATTTTAAATTATGACTTAGAGATATCTCTAACAGAGTGAGGCAAAAGAATCCATGGACATCCATTCTATTTTTCTACTCACTTTCAAAAGGTTTGTTCCTACACCTTCTAGAAGCAGCATGTTATTTCTTGGAGTAATTATTGTTAGTTTGCCAGTGAGTGACAGAATGCTGCTTGTTACTCCACCCACATGTTCATGTTTTTCCAGAAACAAGTGCTCTAGCCTCAGGGCTGAGAAGCCTCTCAGTATCCTGTTCCATTTACTGACCTGAGTGGGCCTCTAGAGACCATGCCATTCACAGAGGCACAGCTGCTACTTTGTTCTTAGTTCTACATATCTTGACCAAGAAGCTAGAGGAACAGAGTTCACAAGACTTGATTTGCTGAAAAGGCTAATATAGAAGAACAAACACTGATCTGGCAAAGTTGAGCGCTTGCTGTTATCTGGTAAAAGTGAGAAATGGCTTCCTAACTGATTCCTCAGTCATTAATTTGAAAAGAAAAAGTGAAATCAGCAATAGTACCAACTTGAGCAGTGTAATAAGGGCTGACAGTGGACTTTTCCTAACAGTCAGATTTCCATTTTTTTTCCAGAGAACTTCAGTCATTGATAGGCATTAGGTATCAATGTAGCACTCCTGTAGCTATGTTTAAACTAAAGACACACCTACATCTGAAAAAAGGAATGAAGGTACACTGGGGCCAGACGTTTATTCCCCCTCAGGTCAGCTCTAAATCAAGGAACCCTGATATAGGAGAATTAAGAACTCATTGAATTAAGAACTCAGTTATTGACCAAAGAGCTGGCAGTTCAAATCCACTTGGCAGTTCCACAAGAGAAAGGCCTGGTGATCTCTTTCGTTAAAGATTATAGCATATAAAACCCTATGGAGTGATTCTAGTCTGTAACATAGAGCCACTAGGTATCAGAACCAGCTTGACGGCACCCAATAGCCTCAGCAGTTTTTCAAGCGGAACAATATTGTCCCCCAAGACACAGTGGGCAATGGTTGGAGAAAATGAAGGTAAAAATGGGATTGAGGTTATTATCATCTCATGGGTAGAAGCCAGAGATCCTGCTGAACATTCTATAATACCTATGAGAACCTCCTTCAGCAAAGAATCATCCAGCCTAAAATGGGCATAGTTTAGAAACCTTCCTCTAGAGAATCAATGAATTTTAAAGCAAATTAAAGATATTGCGATGAATATATACTCATTGTTTTTGAAAAATGAACAAATTACACTAACTAGTTACACCTGCTAAAATAAAGACCAGGAATCATTAACATGTCACCATCGTTCTGCATGATCCAGAACTACACTAAAGAGTATGCCACTCCTCCCTACTCCCTTACATCTATTTTTAATCCTATATGAGGACAAAAGGAGAAAATTCTCTTACTAGGTCAACCAAGCATGGAAACTTTAGCTGTTCTAAACATTAATTAAAGGTCTACACAAACCACAAATTTCTCTGCTTATGAACTCTTTGTAATTAAAATAAGAAATGAGTAAGGTTACACTTACTTCTTACTCGCAGTGTCATAAAGAATGATTCTTTTATCCAATCCTATGGTTACAAACAGCAATTCGTTGACAGGAGAGAAAGAGATCCCTGAAGCTGGAGCTTTGTGAGCGTTTTCAAAGTTATGGTACGGACTCTGAGTATTCACATCCCAGAGTGTCACTATCCCATTATCTGAAACGCTGCCCAGAAGCGATTTCTTAAACAAGGAGTACTTCAAGTGCCTAACAGACTATAAAAACAGAAAAGGAAATTTCAAGTAACTGTAAGCATTCTCAAAGATGTTTTCTAGAAACTCTATAAATACTAGCCAATTACCAACCACACTATTTACATGGGTTCAGGAGGCTCTCCAAGATTTAGAAAGCAACAGGTTTTAATCATGACTATCATTTCCAGTAAGCACTGAGATAACCTTAAGGCACACAGTATCTATTTAACTGAATACTCATCATAGTTTTATTATCTTTTGCTTATAACTACCTCAAACTTCCCGCATTCTAAGGAAAAATGCAACCAGATTACGTACATCAATTCATCATAAAATAAAAGGCTCAACCATGTACAAATGACAAACAAGTATAAGGGGAGAGTACAAGTAACAGTGGGAGAGAATATTTCACATTATCTTTATATATTTTAGATATTGGAGTATGTTCGTGTCAATCTGAGCTTCTGATATGCTGGCAAGTCAGTATTTGATGGACAATACATAAGTAACTAAACCATGAAGGAAGATTCTGTACTATTCTAGATTGGGGTGCACTATAGCCATTCTTTCAAAAGTGTCAGCTTGCTGGCAATGCTGACCTTTCTTTAAGCATTCGTTCCTGGGGGCAGTGGACACTTTTCACTGCTTTAGAGTTAAAAAATAACTTCACAAACCCAGCAAACAAAGAAAACCTTTCCAGTTTCTACAGAATCCAAATTACAAACATCAGCTAGAGAAAACAGATCCTAGTAAAAGTTAGTCTTGAATAAAGCAATTAACAAATCAAGTAGGTGGATATTAACATATAGATAAAAATGCCATAGAACAAAAATCATCCTGGAAGGTCTTTTGTTTATATGTTTGTTATATCTAGTTTTATTTCTCTTATTTGAGACCTAGCGTTCAGATATTAAAAAACCCTAAAAGATACCCTATTTACATCTGGGATATTACAAATTAGTATATACTAGACCCCAACAAAATAAATTCTATGGAAAAGGGAAAAGGATTGTTATCAGGCACTTAACTAGAGCAAATCCTGATGATATATTATTAATCCAAAAATTGGAGGGTCAAGTCCACAAGCCACTCTATGAGATAAAAGACATGGCAATTTACTCTTCTAAAGACTTCAGCCTTGGGAGCCCTATAGGACCTACAGGGTTGCTATAAGTTAGAAATGATGTAGAAGACAAACAAAAATACCCCCATGTAACAACTGAGTGGATTGAGGAATTGTCTTCACACAATGGAATAGTGCAGCACTCACGAGCAATGATTTTTTAAAAAATATTACATAACTTGGGAGAGACTAGAGAGCATTATGCTGAGTTAACTCAGTCTCATAAGGACAAATACTGCACAAGTTCATTATTGTTAAAAAAAAAAAAAAGATAACTAGTAAAACATGTATAGGGAACCCAAGGGGGAAGGAACCCAAGGGAGCAGAGGGGCGAGTATGAGTAGGGTGGAACCAGAGTTGCAGGATTTGGTGGGTAGAGGGAGGGGGTGAAGGAAATGGGAAGGATCCAATGGGGACCTAAAAAGACAGGGTTATGATGAGCAAGGTCCAATGGTGATTAAATTTATAACAATAATGAATGGGAATGATTATATGAACACAATGTGAATGAAGAATAGCGTGAAACACAATGTATATGAACTCTGTGAGCAAACCAGTATAAAATAAAATTTAAAAAAGTACCCCCTTGTAAATGAAAATTATAATGGCCACCACTGAATTTGCTTTCTCATTTTCATATGGCTAGAGAGCTCTGGTGGCCTAAGAAGCTGTGGCACAAACATTAGGGTGTGCAGTTCAAATCCACCAGCTGTTCTGTGGGAGGACAGGCCTGTCCTCTCCCATGTGATTAACTGTCTCTTAAAAACCTGCTGGAGGGTCAGCTACGATTCAGCTTGGACTCGAAGGCACACAGCAACAACAAAGATGAATAAAGAGGGAGCTCCGGTGGCTCCACTGCTAACGAGGTCACTGAACATCCAAAGGCACGTGTTTTGAATCCACCAGCTGCTTCATTGGAGAAAGTGCAATCTCTTCCCCTGAGATTTACTAACTCTCAAAATCCACTGGAGGTTCAGATATGAGTCACTTCCAACTTGCTGGTACATAGCAACAGCAACGTATAAAGAGGGAGTTCTAATGACCTAGTGGGCAAGGAGTTGTGCTGCCAACCCAAAGGGAGGTGGTTTGAATTTACTACTACTCTGCAGAAGAGAGGACAATCGCATGACACGTGGCTCTGAAATCCTGCAGGGGTACGGGGTGTCACTAGGAGTTGGTTCCAACTCAACAGCAATGAGAAAGACAACATATAAAGAGAAAATGGTAGTTTACATGGTTTTCTATTTTTCCTAAGAGAAAATAGGAAAAAAACCACCCAAACCCAAAAATCCAACCCACATTTTGATCTATGAACTATTGAAGTTATAATTACACAAAAGACAAAGAGTTCCTTAATAAATTAAAATTAACATTTAAATGACAGTCACATGCAGCCTTATCAAAGCATAAGACAAATCTTAATTTTTATGAGGTCTACAGCACTTTAAGAGTTCATAAAATTGTAGTTCTTTCACATGATCTAAATTTGTATTCAGCACAGAAATAGAACAACAAAAAAAAATCATAGACTTGGTGGACTGAAAGTTGGCAAGTTCAACCTCTTAGTAACAACAGGAATTTGCCTATCACATCCTTAAAATTGGTCATCTAGATTTTGCTTGACAGCTGCAGAGAACAGAGATCTTACTATTTTTAGAAAACAGAACTTTATAGTTAAAAATGCATCTCTTGATTAAGTCAAAACATAACTTCCATATATTACTTCAAATTGTTTCAACCCAACTTACAAAAAAAAGGGGGGGAATAAGAGGGAGATTAAAAATAACCATGAATATTCTTTGCAGATAAAACAAGCTTGTTCCAAACTCTCACAGTTCTCACCTACAGAGTAGGGGCATTATCTGCTTATCGAGATTGTTTTGAGGATCACCTAATACTTCTGAACACACAGGATTGCAATTCTTCTATTCATCATTGGTTGTGCATTCATTTGTCTACCTTTCATACATATTAAAACAAAACAAAACAAAAACAAACAAACCAAACCACTTAAGGCTTGGCCATGAACTAATGGAAACAAGGAGTCCAGCCCTCAGGGCCAGCATTCTGGCATCCTGGGCCTTGTAGCATGTTAATCATGATGATAATGTTTCCTGGACTCTTAATGCATGCTAGGCACCGCTTAGTGCTTTTCATAATGTTTGCCCTCTTCACAGTCTTCTGAGGTAGAAGGTAGACATAGAAAAGACCTTGAAGCAACTGCAGAGGCCAAAGGGCGAATCATGGTGGTAGACACAGAAGGCATCCTCATGGAAAGTACCATGAACAATTCTATTGCCACACAGTATGCCAACCTCATGCACAGCTTCATCTCAGAGGCAGAGACAACATGCAAGAAAGTGAGCCCCAGAATGACCTCACCTTCCTTTGAATTCCCTTCAAGATAAATGAAATTATGGTTGTACCAGAGAAGGAGTATTTCCTGATTATGATTCAGAATCCAGCTCAATAACTCCTGGATCCCTGAGCCATTCCTTAATGTAATGTCCCCAAAGAAGAAGACTGTTAATTAATCATGCCAACATACTGTAGGGAGCTCTAGTGGCAAGTGGAAATCACCCAACAACTCACTCACATCAATCTAACAACCAAGGGTAGGCTGGTCGATCTACCCACTCCACCAACAAAATCTCTCTGCTACACCAATTGCTTCCAAGGTCCTAGGACAGGGGCCTCCTCCTCTAAGAAGTCCTTCTCCAACCACACCCAGCTTCCTTTGGACCTTCAGTTCACTTGTCCTCCATGAAAAAGGCTGTTTTTCTTTGACTAAAAATAGTTAAGATGCTTAAACAAACAACAAAAACCCAACTCCCAAAAAACCCCAAATATAAGTAGTCACATGACCTTCTTAACTACTTTCCCTTCATTGCCTTGATAATACTGACACAATTTTAATCTTTCTACCTCTATGAAACCATCATCTATTCAAATGATCATAAAAAATTAGTGTCAGTGAGTAAGTGAAGTTAATCTACTAAACTATATGTAAAATAGGTATTTATGTTGGTATCAGTAGCACCAAGTCCCTATATTGTCCAAGACTAAAATGATTTCTAAAGAAAAAAAAAGTAAGTAAAAAAGGTTATTAAAAAAAAAAGCAATCCTTCTTTCCCCATAAGCAGCAGCAGGTAATCTCCCAAAATGGTTCACTACTTGCTTGACCCGGAAAAATCCCACAAAATCATGCAAATCAAGAGGCTCAAATATCCGGGTCCATTTTAAGAACACCTGAGAAACTGAAAGCCACTAAGTATCTGAAAGATGTCACTTAGCAAAAGCAGTGTGTGCCCTTCCTATGTTACAATGGTGGAGCTGGTAGGTGTGCCCAGGCCAAACAGTGGGGTTGGACACAGGGTCAGTGGCCCAAAAAGAGTGTCGAGTTCTTGCCACATATGCTTAAAAATGCCAAAAGTAATGCTGAACTTAAGGGTTTAGATGTTGGTTCTCTGGTCATTAAGCATATCCAGGTGAACAAAGCTCCCAAGATGCGCCGCCGCACGTACAGAGCTCATGGTCGGATTAACCCCTACATGAGCTCCCCCTGCCATACTGAAATGATCCTTACTGAAAAGGAGCAGATTATTCCTAAACCAGAAGAGAAGGTTGCCCAGAAGAAAAAGATCTCCCAGAGGAAACTAAAGAAACAAAAACTTATGGCTGGAGAATTAAAAAACGTCATTAAATAAAATGAAAATAAATTAAAAAAAAAAAAGAAATCCTAGCACAATGAGCAGTACACCAATAAGATAAAAATTTTTACCACTGGGCCGACAGGAAACATCATAACAGATGGAGAGAAGACTGAAATTGTCAAGGACTACAGCTTACTTGGATCTATCAACATTTTAGGCATCAGCAGTCAAGAAATCAGAAGACA